ACAACCATAAGTGCTGTTGTGTCTCATTTTCTTGTTTACAGGAAATGCATGTCCATTCATTTCCATATAAATCAGGTCGTCTTATCTTCAAGTTTTCTAGTACAGGTAAATTATTATTCATAGTTTTAATTTTAAACGCTTTAATTTTGCTTTCTGAGAATGATGTCTCTGGTTGTCTGTTGTAAGATGAAAAGGCAAAACTTTTCCATGTTCTGTCCTTTATTAACTTTGCATATTTTGCAAGCCTGTGTAATAGCAACCACCTATTAAAAGCTTCAGCTTGGTTAATTGATTTGATGAAGGAACGTATTGGTTGTTCAATTAAAATATCATTAAAATATAAAGTAGCTTTAAGTGTCTTTGTTTTAGTGAAGTCGAATTTTATTGTTTGGCTTACAAGCCCTTGTTTAGCAGATAAGTCAGCTGCATTATTAAAAATATTGTTTGAATGTGCTTTAACTTTCCTACACTTCAAATTAATGTTCTTTTTTTTAATCAACTCTTCTATTATGAGCCAAATAGTAAAATTTTTAATTTTGAATTTATGTGTTATTGGCACATAAATACATGGATTATTGAAGAATTCTAAGTACTCAATTGATGTTTTGCTATCTGTATAAATGATTACATTGCTATTTGAAGGAACTACAAGCAATGTTGTTAATATTGATATGGTTTCTGCTTTATTTGATGATGGCCAGTTTCCCATTCCTGCATTAAAAGAATGAGTAATTTCATTATTGAGCCTTCTGATCCATCCTATACCCATATTCACTGATGTATCATCATTAATTTTCATTGATCCATCTGTATAGAAAGTAAAATCCATTTCATAAAAAAATTGTATTTCAAGTTCAGTTAACTTGTCACGTATTTCTTTATCAATAATATATTGATTTATAAAGTTATTTTCAGTTATATTAAAATCATCATTTAGCATTGTAATATTTTGTCTTGGTATTATATAATTTAAATCACTATTATTGTTTATTCTAGCTATAACTTTTTTTTTAATCTCAAATATTCATCATTTGTATTTAAATATCTTTTCTTATATGTTGTTACTACAATAGCAGAGTTTGATTCACACCAAAAATGACAATTACCACTATTTGAATTTCTTGTGGTATGGAGTATTTACATCCAGTTAAAATGAATTGTTATTGATAACATGCTTGCTTCGATAATACCTACACGTTTTTTTCATGTGACCTAATTTTTCAGGT